TAAAACAATAAACAACTTTTTAGAACAATATAAAACTGATTTAAAACATTGTGTTTTAAAATACTTGCCATCCTTAGGCCGATTCGATAAGTCATTGATTCCGGCATGATCAGTGTAACGTTTATTATCCGGCAGCTTACTATGATCGTATCACCAGAATAATTGAGTTATTTTGATGGTGATTGCATCATCATCAAATAACTTCGTCATTTGATGATGACCGAATTATTCGGTTGGTACGATCATAGTAAGCTGCCGGATAAAACCGTTATTGGGTTGCAGGTACGGCAACTAGTGTAGAACCTAGTAATAGGTAGACTACTTAAATAGACTCAAAAGGCGCAGGTATAGCTAGATGTACCCTCCAAATATGTATAGTGACTGTCTTAACACAATAAAGCACACTTGACCAAGAGGTTATCTTAACACCAAAAAAAAAAAAAACTATCTTAATAATATTTTTTATTTATTTTTCTATAATTATATTACATTATTAGAATTTCTTAAAATCAAATCAAATCAAATATCAAGCAAATTTGAATAATATTTAGAAATTTTTAAAATTTTTAAAAATTTTGTTATTTTTAAAATTTTCAATTTATGCAAAAGTTTACTAAGCTAATCGATTTTGTATATTAAGTAAAAATGTTCTTCTAATCAAAATATCCCTAGCCAAATAGAAAGAAAAAATGTAATTATTTTAATAAAATTTTACATAAATAGCTATTATATTTATAATTTCTGTTAATAAATCAAATATTTTATTAATTGAATTTGATTTGATTTGAAATTTCAGTATTTAAATTTGATTTGACATCAAATATTTGATCAAATCAAATCAAAACAAATCAAATTATGAAACCCTATACATTATCTAGCAACTACACTGCTATTTCTATCTAAACCTCTCTATAGTCATCTCTTATATAAGCATATATTCTTTATAAGCATATATTTTCAAAAACCAACTATTATTAAATATAATAAATTTAACCTTTATGATTGGCACACTTTTCTATAATCACCCTTTTTGTATCCTGAAGGTGTGACTATAGAGAGGTTTGACTGTACTTAACAATATTATTGAAAATACTGTCTGTAACTTAAAACAATCTTAGTTATATCTTAAGATATAAGCAAAACTTATAATTTTATTATTTTAAAACTTCTTAAAAATCTTTAATAAAAATTAATATATCTTCTAAACTTATCAATATTCTTACTAATCTTTTAACCAACTGTTACAATAGAATTATAACCAATTTTGATCTTACCAACTTCTATCCTGTTAAAAATAGAATTGATCAAAGAGAAACACTATTATAATCCCCTTTTAAGCAAAATCGTATCACACTTCTCAGGCTATATCGTAAGCACATTATGGAAAACCCCAAAGTAAAAATCTCAAATATCGATATCCGTCTTAGCCCATGTGGAGAATAGCCCACTTCGTTTTAGACAATCGCATTAGCGTTAGTCATATGATAATCTTCACTTGTGATTTTCTCATAATCACATGATTGTCCCATCACCTCTTTTACTGTGACAGCCCCCACTAACTATACAATCAATAACACAAATAAAAAAGAAAAAAAAAATATTAGGTAGTCTAATTTTAATTTTATAACCAATTTTTTTTAATTGCAATCTGTATAACAAAATAATCAATACCACGGGTTAATTTAAATAAAATCATCCCTATCGTTATTACGCTAATGATTTAAATATAAATATGCATTGCAAAAATATAATATTAAAATTAAAAATTCTTTGTGAATTTACATTTCATTTTTACAAATAATTAAATTTAGTATATATTATCGGCTTTATAATTTATAAAACTTTGTTTATAATCTAAGTTTTGATGTGTTTTTTTTGTTTCTTTTATATGAATTCACATTTAAAAAAATTCTTGTTAAAAAAACTGTAGTGAATGATTAAATATAGACAAGTGATATACACAAATTAATTGATTGTCTCACTCGTGTCACATATGCAACCGCCAAATCACAATTATAAAACGATTTCAATTTAATTTAAAAGAATTTTTCTAATTGTTATTCTGTCTGTATTCCGTCCACATCATTCTCTTTTTCATCTTTAGATGCCTTATTTTGCCAAAGACCATAACTTTTCCCGGGCGTTGTCTATCAAGGAGGAAGGTATTACTAAAATACAAAAGACACTTTATATATTTATATTTTTAAAAAGCTTCTTACCTGCCACAACCTTATAGTGCCGTCCTCTAATTAATATTAAACACAAGATTGTATAATCACGTCAATTTAAAATTATAAAAAATTTATAAAAATAAAATTTAAATATTGATTTGATACAAAATATATACCTGAACCAGTAGCATAAATTTCACCATCGGGACTGTAACTCACTGTATGAATCGGACCGTGATGACCCTTATAAAACTCTGAAAGAAAATTGATTTATAAGGCTGTATAACTCTAAAAAGTGAAATGATACACGTATCGTAATTAATCCGAACCGAGTTCTTTGCCACTCTCAAAATCATATATTCTCACACATAAGTCACTACTTCCACCGGCTACAAATCTTTTATTATCAGGATGTAAAGATACTGAGGAAACATCATACGCTGTTGCGATAGATTTAGAAACTTGGTAACTAATAAAAAAAGAAATTAACATTAGTTATCTATTGATGTTATTATATAAAAAGAAAAAAATAAAAATAAAAATAAATAAATACGTTGAAGCATCCAAAAAGTAAACAACCTTGCCAGCTGTACTTGTAATATATTTTCCGTCAGCTGAAAGTTCCATACTCGTAATAGGATGTTCAGCTTTAAAAGTGTTAATTTGATTAAAACTGCGAAGGTCCCAGATACTAACAAATAAGAGGGTATTTAAATGTAAACATAACAGCTCTATAATGAACAGTTTATTAAATTTAGTAATAATTAACTCACCGAATCTCTTTGTCATCACCAGCACTCAGTACAACATTTCTTTCACCGTCCCAAATAACGCTTTTAATAGTTGAATCGTGTCCCTCTGTTTCCATGGCAGCATTTTCTGGTTTATTTAAATCAAATATTCTTAATTTCTTTTCTTGACCACCAGAGATAATGCGCGTTCCATCATCCGAAATGTCAGCTGAACGTACAATGTGCCCATGGGAGTAAGAATAAAGCACGTCACCAGTATAGGTGTCCCATACTTTTCTATACCCACGATATCGAATTGATAGAGTTAGATTATATACCGCAGAATTGATGAATCAAATTAAATCAATTTAAATCAGTATCGATAAATTGCATACGGGACTGTAACTCACTGTATGAATCGGACCGTG